GACTCAATAGTGTATATGGCAGACTAATTTTATGTTGGACAGAAAATGGATTGCCAGCTGATAATTTGACTAGACATTCCAGGTGACTTCTCTGGAATCCAATGGGTTTAAAATAAGATGTGCTTGCATGTACACTGGTCTGCATTATGTCACGTCAGAGCAATGCAGTCCACCAGGAATCCTTCCCAGTATTTTGGTCTTTTAGGAAGTAGACAATCTTGTTCTTTATTATTTCATTACTCTACTCTAATGTTGATGTGTAATATTTTTTTAAACAATTGTTTTTAGAGAAAATTAAAAAACAGTACAATGGAGGAGAGAGAAATGAACACAGAACATCGAATGTTCACACAACACTATTTGCAGGGTAGTAGTTTGTTATATCATCGCACTTCTAGATCCATGGTTTCTAAACCTTGATAAATTGGATAGTGATATAAATTATTTTATATAGTAAAAAAAAAATTCAGTTGAATAAGGGTTAGTCAGCAAAACAAACTAATATTTGTATCATTTAATAAATGGTTCTCCATGGATGATTTTGTGTTTTATTTCCTATCTTTCTTGAATTGTAGTGTGCTGTTCAAGTAAAACTTGAGCTGGGTCATCGTGCCCAGGTTAGAAAGAAACCTACACTTGAAGGATTCACCCACGATTGGATGGTATTTGTCAGAGGACCAGAGCACAGTAACATTCAGCACTTTGTGGAGAAAGTCGTATTTCACTTGCACGAGAGCTTTCCAAGGCCCAAAAGAGGTAATCTTGATATTACATATCCTCGTTTTGTACTTATTACTTATTCAAGTTCCTGTGACTGTACTTTGTGCTTTCGTAAAATGTGTGCATTTAAAAAGAAAAAAAAAAATGTATTAGACATTCTCATTGGATTTCTGGTGAAAATTATTTTTAGAGTACTTTGCTTCATTGTACAAAGACTGTTTGTTTGTTTTTCTCAGGCTAGATTACCTGTTACTAAGTTTCTGCTAAATAAATATTGTAGAAAGAATGTATTTGCTTGTTAATGTCAAAAATCTGCCAGTTTAGCTCTTTTAATGTATTGTACATATGTGCATAGTGCATATATTTTTTATTTCTAAAGAATTGTGAGTCAGTATGAATGTCTTTAAAAAATGTAACTTGCTTATAAAACCTAAACTAATAATAGCCAAACTTTTAATTTCCCAAGAAACTCAGCCATGCTCCAGTAGTTTGCAAATACGTAGCTGCCAATATTCACCATGCATGTTCTAAATCTAAATATTTTTATTGCATTACAAATATTATGTGTTAAAAAATTATCCCCAAAAAACTACATACTAGCTTTTAACATTTTCCTGGTGTACTCCCACACCAGGGAGGAACTCTTATCCCATAGATCTCTATGCAGCAAGGAATAAAAAAATGAATGTACTCCCCTATAGTAATTCCACTCATCGTTAGGATGATTGGGAACCACTCAGTAAATCGATAAAAATTACAGTGGCTATCAGTATAAACAGAGTCCAGTTGACTGTTTAATAAACCTGGCTATTTTCAATATTTGGCAGAGCTGAAGTCTGTGTATGGGAGGTCCGTGACTTGACTCTCTTGAGAGAGGAGAAAAAACGGAGCTCAAACTGTGTATCACAACATGCAAAATTTTGATAAAACTGATATATCCAAAAACAAAATTTCCAGCTGGCTGATTTGGCAAGAGCAAACTGAATTGGTTGTGGTGTTTGAAATAGATCTTTAAATCAAATGTGTACAATAAAATTACATGTATTATGTTTGAACACCACATACTCCTATAGACTGTAATAACTATAATCTGACATAAGGTGTTTGTGTGTTTTTTTGTTTTTTTTGGGGTGTTTGTGTTTTAAGGAGATGCCAAGGTGGTTATTTTTATGAAAAAAAATTATCCTGAAAATTCTTTTAATGTTCCATGTATCTCAGTTTTAAAGTTGTTGTTTTTTTGGCCTATGATTGTTTGTATCTCAGTTTTAAAGTTGTTGGTTTTTTTTGGCCTATGATTGTTGCCTGTTTCCATTAGCACATCAGCCTGATTGCATGGTAAGGCTTTGGGGGAATGCTTGACAAAGTTATTTACAGCTGACATATGGAACATTTAAGTGGTAGAATGTTTACTTTGGAGAGTTTAGCAAGGCAGACCTCCCCTCCTGATTCAATGTATACAATGCATATTTCTAGCCTTTGATTTGAGTTTCAGTGTAAATAGATATCACCGAGTCCCCATTTGTGTGATCCTTCAGGAAATACATTAGTCTCTCAATGGTTTGTATATGTTTCTGTTACTCAATTGTAATCTCATTGCTGGCGACCATTGCTATTGATTCGTATGATTTATGTTTCTTTATGCATTTCTTATCCCTCTTCCATCCAAAGTTTAAATACATTTAATAGCTTTATTTGAATGTATGACAGGGCCTGCTGATTTGTTGTTACTGTATTGATGTTAATCTGTTTGATATTCCATTTTCCATGTAACCCTTGCATAGTTTAAAGTTCACTTGTACATTATCCATGTGTTCTAAATTGATCTATTGTCTTCATGTCAATTAAAAAAAAAAAAAAAAAACCCTCTCCATAGAAACACAATGTCTGTCTGATGTTATCGTATAATGGATTTCCAGCTGAGCTTTTACAATGTCTGGCAAATGTGGCTTCTCCGAGCCCCCAAAGAGTACAGTGGCAATAGTACTTGTAAAACCATTTAGAATTGGGGGTAACATATTTTTTTTTTTTTTATGTTTGTGTGTACCTTTTTGGTCCTAGTCAAGTCTTTTTTCTTTTGCTATGTACTTTTGTCTCAAAAATGCTGTGGTGTTAATTTAATGATCTTTGATTACATCTATTTTGCTTTATTAAATGCATTAGAGAGAGAATGCATTTCTTGATGCAGTAGAATGTTTTTGATCTTTTTTGCTTGGTTTATTTGATATTTTCATTTTGTTTACGATATTCTTTTAAGTGGTTTTATTCTGTTGTCTGTTTTTATAATACAGAGTGGCCCATAGGTTCCTACCCATCCAGCACACAGATACACCGGATACATAAGATATATGGATGGGTAGGGACTTATGGGCCACCCAGTATACTGTATGAAACATTTTGAGAACCTTGCACTCAACATTTCAATAGGTACTTGCCCCAGTTTCAAATCTCTGGCCTCAATTGTAACAATACAGAAGGAGAGCACTCATGGGACTTGTTTTAAGGCAATACAGCTGTATTTATCTTCACGGGTTGTATATAAATTTGAATCAATGTTTCAGTCCTTAATAGCCTTGATAAAGGTTCCAGTAAGTGACTGAAACGTTGATTTAAGGAATACGTGAGGCCAGTATATAGTAATATTGGGCTATCCTATTTAAAAGAATGGAACTTTCTGTTTTGTAATGGCCATTCGGCCTCTGTTTATTGAATCTGGCAAATTATGTTGCATCTCTCTGATCAGACAGGCAATGTTCTGTTTAATATAGAATAGTTTTTTAGTAAGTATTTTCAATTTTAACAAATGCTAAAATACTTCTCATTGTGGCACCCATCACAGATACCCTGTATGAGAATGGGCCTATCAAACCTATATGCCCCATCTGTTGTAGAACTACAACACCCTAGAAGCTTTGCCCACCTTAGGCCTGACAAAGCTTCATGGGATTTGTAGTATGAAAACTTATTGGAATATCCCCCTGTCTCAATTAGAGTATAAGATCCATTGTGTTAGAAGACACGACAAGCAAACATTTTCGAATAATGAACAAAAAATTGTGATTTCTGGCAGGTGCTACCGAACTCAAAATAAACACACATTTTAACTATCAAAGTACCACTATTTAAAGATTAGTGTGTATGTATTTGTGTTTTGGTTTGTGTTTTTACCATCTGCTTGTTAGTTTCTCTTCATATGCAAGGAATCACAAAAAGCAATAAAGCATTACCATGCAGTGTTTAAAGGCACCATTTTGCAACATAGTTCTGCATGTTAGAACCTTTTCATATTGTATGCCTGCCATACCTTAGTGATAATGAACACTCCTGCATCACTAGCCCCACACATTGCCTAGGTAATTTTCCCCAGTGACTTTGTGCTCTTGTCTTAGGGGAGAGTGCTGCTAGTCACACTTGGAAATTGTTGCTAGGTGGAGTAAATGAAACCTAGTTTTACAGTTTGAAATTCAGTCATTTTCCTCATGTAATGTAGGGCAAATGTAGGTTTTTTTGTTTTTTTTTTGCATTTTTCCTTTTAATGTACTCATTTGAGTGGAAAATACATTGATCTTTGTCATCTCTCTTTAATTTGAAATCATAGCATTTGTGAGGTGATTTTTTTTTTTTTTTAAGGAGGGGGTGGTTGTCTGTGTGTGTTTCCACACTGTGACAAGTGCTGGGAAATTTGCCAATTTACATGGCCCTGCAGAGACCTCGTCATATTATGATTACGCATGACTCAGAACATTCACTGTTCACTAGCCGCTCTTGTATGGTGCAGTTCAGGGTACACTAAACATGCCACTCATTTTGCTTGAATTATTTTCAGTTTCTGGGGTTTAGGAAATTACAGTAATGAGCACCCCTCAAAATCTCCTAATCATTTCAGACTTTGATAAGTCAGAGTTTAGTAGATTAGTGTCACATGGCTACCGAATGCTTTGTAGAATTGTGTTTGTGGGGAGAGTCTCTTTTAATTAGTTTTGGTTTTTAATTGCAAAATGGTTTGTGGGGGGGAGGGGGGGGGTTACTTTTTTTTTCTGTAAAAAGATATTTTGTCAGTCAGTATTTACATTTAAATCTTTATCAAAGTGGCACCAGAAATAAAGTTTATCTAATTTGCTTCTATATAACTCAGGAGTAGTCCCAGAAGATTGGAAGTTAGCGAATGTTGTGCCCATTCACAACAAAGGTAGTAGGGAGTAGAGATGTCGCGAACTTCTCGCGAACGGTTCGCCACGAGCTGTTCGCGGCGAACTACGGTCAGCTGACACGTCCCGGACAATCTCCAGCAGACCCTCCCTCCCAGACCCTCCTACTTCCTGGGCAACATGGATGCTGTCCAGGAAGTAGGAGGGTCTGGGAGGGAGGGTCTGCTGGAGATTGGCCGGGACGTGTCAGCTGACTGGAGTTCGCCACGAACAGCTCGTGGCGAACCGTTCGCGAAAAGTTCGCGACATCTCTAGTAGGGAGGAGAATGGCAACTATAGGCCAGTAAGTCTTACTTCAGTAGTGGGGAAAGTAATGGAAACCATGTTAAAGGATAGGATTGTTGAACACCTAAAAACACATGAATTTCAAGATCAGAGACAACATGGGTTTACTTCAGGGAGATCATGCCAAACTAATCTTATTGATTTTTTTTTTTTTTGATTGGGTAACTAAAATAATAGATCAGGGTGGTGCAGTAGACATTGCTAACCTAGATTTCAGTAAGGCTTTTGACACTGTTCCACATAGAAGGCTTATCAATAAACTGCAATCTTTAAGTTGGGATTCCAATATTGATGAATGGGTAAGGCAGTGGCTGAGTGACAGGCAACAGAGGGTTGTAGTCAATGGAGTATATTCAAAGCATGGGCTTGTCTCCAGTGGGGGTACCTCAGGGATCTGATCTGTACTTGGACCCATTATCTTTAATATTTTTATTAGTGATGTTGCAGAAGGTCTTGATGGTAAGGTATGTTTTTATTCTGATGATACTAAGATATGTAACAGGGTTGATGTCCTGAGGAAAGGGATGTAGGGGTAATTATTTCTGATGACTTAAAGGTAAGCAGACAATGTAATAGAGCATCAGGAAATGCTAGCAGAATGCTTGGTTGTATTGGGAGAGGTATTAGCAGTAGAAAGAGGGAAGTTCTCATGTCAGGGGCAAAGGTTTAAAAATAATATCAAGAAGTACTACTTTACTGAGAGGGTAGTGGATGCATGGAATAGCCTTCACGCTGATGTGGTAGAGGTTAACACAGTGAGGGAGTTTAAGCATGCATGGGATAGGCATAAGGCTATCCTAACTATGATAAGGCCAGGGACGAAGTAATGAAATTATTTACAAAACTGGGCAGACTAGATGGGCTGAATGGGTTTTATCTGCCGTCACATTCTATGTCTCTGTCTTCATTTCCTTTTTATTTTTTTCCCGACTTCTCTAGTTTTCATAAAATATTTAAAGAAAAGTCTGATCTATTTTTCATACTGTGTCGCGGTCAGGTTGAAAACAATCTGACAGTGGGAGGAGCTTAAATGAAGGTTCCGCTTCAGTTGCCAATCAAATTAATCCACAATCAATAATAATAAAAATAAACTCAATATTACAGAAATGCAAACAGCAGACATCATTGGCTTAGGACAACAAAACGCCTGCACCCAGATATTGAGATCCAGAACAAGAAAGAATTGATAGTAAATCTAAATAAAGACAAGTGCCAAGGGGAATAGCATAATCATTAAAGGGACACTATAGTCACCAAAACAACTTTAGCTTAATGCAGCAGTTATGGTGTATAGATCATGCCCCTGCAGTCTTGGTGCTCAGTTCTCTGCCATTTGGAAGTTAAATCACTTTACTTATGCAGCTCTGGTCACACCTCCCTGCATGTGACTTACACAGCCTTCCTAAACACTTCCTGTAAAGAGTCATCTGTTTACACTTCCTTTATTATAAATTCTGTTTAATCTACAATTTCTTATCTCCTGCTCTATTAATAGTTTGCTTGGCCTTGCAGGAGCCTCCTGTGTGTGATTTGAGTTCAATTTACAGAGAAGGAGATAAAATCTTTTAAAGTAAGATAGAATCTGAAAGTGAAACAATTTCATTTGTATTCAGCTGTGACATTCACAGCCAGGGGAGGTGTGGCTAGGGCTGCATAAGCAGAAACAAAGTGATTTAACTCCTAAATGACAGTGAATTGAGCAGTGAAATGTCAGAGGCATGATCTATACACAAAGACTGATTTATTAAACTAAAGTTATTTTGGTAAGTGTAGTGTCCCTTTAAGATATAAGGGAAGTAAAACCAAAAGAAAACAACAAACCTGACAAAGCTGCTTTAAAAGGAGAAATATTGCATACAATGCAAGTAAACAAAATGTAACACTAATGATTCTCTCGTATGTGTTACAGGATCTTGCAGAATGTTTTAAGAAAAATGCTATGTGAAAAGGGGAGCAGCTCCTGAATTTTCATTTATTTATTTATTTATTGGTTTTGTTCTTTTTTTCTAGCATCTAAAATAATGCTACTCCAATAAAAAGATATTACAAGATACTCCAAAATTCTGCACCCTGTTTGCTATTGGCCTGTATGGACTAATGGCTATTAAAAAGAACGTGTATCAACACTCAGTGACTAGAATAATGAGGATTGCTGAACATTTCATTTAAAAATTGTCCACAGTCATAATTGGTTTCCCTGTATGCTGTTAGAATTTGTTTCCATTCAGCCAAGTATATTTGTGAGATTGAACGGTGATGTTGAGTGATTATGTCCAGCATGGAGTTGGTATTCAGTAGGGTTGATGTTGGCCTTGTACAGGAAAGTCGGGTTATTCCACACCGATCTTGACTTGTTTGGTCTGTATTGACCTTGCTTGGTGCCGTAGTTGCATAGTGGTGCAGAAAGTGGGAGGAAAGGGACATCTTCAACCTACTGCTACAAAGCTGAAACCACAGAATCTTCTATATTTGATGCAACTGTATGCTGTGTCATTAAGAAGTCACTTCACTGGCTCTTATGGACCATACCATAAATAACAGGCCACACCATTATTCTTCCTCCACCAAGCTTTAATGTAACTGGTCTAATGGCTTCTCCCAAACTTGAAGTTGTCCAGTGGACTGCCAAATATTAAAGAATGACTTATTCCTCCAGAGACCGTGTTTTCTTTGCTCCAGAGATCAACATGGCGAGCTTCACATAATCTCAACTAATAAATAAATTTGCTCAAGATGACCTTAGGCTTCTGCGCAGCTGCAGTTCATGAAGAAACGATTTTGTTCTTAAATTGTCTATTTGGAACTAGTAAGTGTTGCAATAAATGACAGTTCTACCTGCTCAATACATGAGGATATTTGACAGGTCTGAAATGGGTTAAACCATGCTCAGCAGGAAACGAACCAATACCACGCACCCTGCTGGGGACAGAGAGCTATAAAATCCAACTCACTGTTTGTGAATGGATTATAAATAGACTATGCAAATTTGAGAATGAGAGGCTTCTGATTGGTGGAGGGTCCCAGTGCAGTCTGCCAATGCCACAGTTATGGTAACCTTGAAGGTTTTTTTTTTTTTTTTTTTTCATTGGCATTTTCTTAAATTTTTCATATTTTTTAATGCCTTATTCACCTTCTTATGGCTTTTCTATAAGCCTGCAAGCAGCTACTGTAAACATGTCATTACCAGACTTTTTTTGAATCTTGGCCTTTTTTTTTTTTCTTTTCAGTTTGCTTTATAAATTGTATTGATTCAACTTCAAGTAAACTGTGTGGAGAGATTTTTCCCCAGACATGGCCGCCTGTGCATTGCTAAGGGGCCTGTAATGTTCAAATTCTTTGTAAAAGAGAAGCCATAAAACAAAATTGTGTTACGGTTGAGTGAATGTCTTTGACCCTTTCACACACTCATCCTGTGTACTGCATCTCCCTCCTCCTCTCTCTACTCGTAGTACGTTAATACAGCAAGCCAATATATTTCTTTAATGCGTCCCCCTGCTTTTCACATGCGTAACCAAACTTGAACAAATATAGGACAGATGTACAGAGTATAGTACTTTACTTGCATCTTCCCACATCGCTTATTAGGGTTTTCATCCTTCTTCTTTTGGCACAATGTGCGCTAATGTACAGCACGCTACAATATGAACCATGAACTGAATGTGCTTTCTTCTTTTCATTTTAATTGTTCGTTTGAAATGATGTAGCCCAAGGCAATGACTGCTAAATTTATTTATTTATCATACAAAAACAGTTATTGATTTAAAAGTTCTGAAATTGGAGGACTTCCTTTCTTCAAGAATGTGTTATTGGATATCATATTAATGTCATCCATATTTCCGCTTGAAAATGACAATTGGGTGTTTTAGAGGAAAAGTAAGGAAACCTGGAAAAATGTTTAAAGGGACGCTCCACTTCATCCACAAGAAGCTCTAGAATGGTTAGCCCCTTGAGTTAGGATTGCCTCCAGGAGAGTGTCACTTTGCGGATTTATTTTTTTATCTATAGTCCCCATCCTTCTAATCTATCACCAGTGACCCACCTAGACTGCAAATTACCTGTTTTCCTTCTTTTTTTACTTGATTATCACAGACCCCTTTCTTGTTTTCCAATGTGCTGTGTTGTTGACCTTCAATACATATCCTGACCCATTATACAAACCACCTAATTATAGACTGCATTTCCATTGCAACCTTCCCCCCCTTCCACATCTTCCATTACAGCTTATCTCCCAAATTTGAAAATAATCAAGATGGGGCAGTTTCACATTTTGGAGGTCTGTTTGAAGGTATGCCCAGTGTAACAAGCTATTTCAGGTAACCACCAAACCTGCTGATTTATGTAACTGAAAGTGTTATTTAGAAAAAAATCAAATTAATTTTGTTTACACATTCAGATTTTGAACCACATTTAATGTAATTTAAAGATACATTGCTGTCCAGTTTAATGGTATGAGAGTACTGTATATACACTCTAATACATCAGATCTGGTGATTCTAGGAATGATGGACATTAGCATAGAAAAGAGGTACCAGTGGATATGGACTCAAAATAAGGATTGTCATACCTGAAAAATGCAATTAAAATCCAATTATAGTCCTTTTGGGGGTTTTTTCGTCAGCAAGGACACTTCCATTACTAGCAATAGAGCAAATATTTTTTTTTTTTTTTTTTTTATAGGGATTCAGTTTTTGTTTTTAGCTTGCTGCTTAAAGGAACAGTTTAGCCATCATTCTACTATATGCCAATGTATTGGTTTTACAGTTCCATAGTGCTGCCCTCTGGTTCTTGATTAAACTGTTTTTGAGCTTCAACAAACCCCTGTTTTGGTTAAACTGCTAATTACCAAGAGTCAACAGATAATGCCCACATCCTAGTGGGCTAATAAC